TGGTGATTATATGCTCTGGTAGCTGGGAATAGGATTATCCCAGCATATGTTTTAGCCCAAGAAAGGACGATCATTGGAAGTCTGCTCAGAGGGTAGTCATAGGCTTTTCTGGAAAGGGTGATGTGAGAACTGGGTCCATATGCCTTGACTGTCTCTTTGCTTATATATATTGTATTCACTGCTTTACATTTTTTATATGGACTGTGAGGGAATACAGGTGAAAAAATAGATTAATGTAAAGATCAATAAACCCCATAATTATTGGGTCAGGAACAGAAAATATATAACTATATTTGAAAATAAAAGAATAAAATAGAGTCAGGCATGGGATAAATACATTAAAATATACTTTCCATGGCAACTGTGTTCTCTTTTGAAAGTATATTGTCCTCAGCAGGCAGGTGACTTTTTCTCCTCAACGTGGGTAAGTGGAGGTCTGAATGGAGAGGGCACGAAGGAAGATGGATGTGGGGGTGGGGCAAATGGACACTTACTGGCAGCTGGACACTTTTCAAGCCTGATGATTCTCAGAAACCATTTACCAGGCAGCTTTAAATCACAGTCAAGAGATAGGTGCTGCTTCAGTAATTCAGGTATCATGGTTGACAGAGGTAAATATGTTCGTGACTGTGAGTGGGCTGGACTTCAGCGACTCTTCATTCTGAGGATCTAGAGGTGGGTTCCATGGTCTTTGAACACCATAAATTTATAGAAGAATTTCTGGGAAGAGGGTGCATGATTTTTATCAAATTCTCAGAAGTATCCATGATCTAAATAGTTTAAGACCTACATATGGATTCCCAAGAAGGGGCGAGGGAGGCAAGGGGAGGAGATGGGCTGCATGGAACATTATAGTAAAATATATTCCATCATATTATATAATGGGTGATAACTGATAGCTGAAAAATGACTCGGGATTCTGATCTTGTGTCTATTAGAGGCATTCGCTTTCAAGTTCTAATTAAATTTCTAGTCTAATTACCTTACTTTAACATTATCCCTATTCTTACCATTCTAATTCATCAGCTCACTCTAATCAATAACATTTTCACAGGCAGAACCTCTGTAAATTTTAGTGTGGTTCTATTGTTTATTACAGCACTGATTTCCACAGTATTCTGGATAATTATTTCCTATTTGATAGGCTTTCAGGATTTACTTATTATTAGCAAGATCCAAACCCAACAAAGTTTCAAGATGACAGAGATGACAGATAAAAACTTTTATACTCCTTCCTTTCAAAATCACCCCCAAAAAGCAAGGAGAACAAGAAATGGATACACATCCCATATATTATGGGACCATAATATATGAAGGCAGAAAATGGAGAGAGGCTGGCTCATAGCTTAGCAGAGAAAAAGAAGATCTAACCCAAGTGCCTTCAAGGTGAGGGGATAGAGGAAGTGGTACACGTGAGAAACATCTCCCCAGGGCGCCTGGGTGGCTCAGCTGGTTAAGTGACTGCCTTCGGCTCAGGTCATGATCCTGGAGTCCCGGGATCGAGTCCCACATCGGGCTCCCTGCTCGGCAGGGAGTCTGCTTCTCCCTCTGACCCTCTTCCCTCCCGTGCTCTCTTTCTCTCTCATTCTCTCTCTCTCAAATAAATAAATAAAATCTTTAAAAAAGAAAGAACGAAAGAAAGAAAGAAAGAAAGAAAGAAAGAAAGAAAGAAAGAAAGAAAGAAAGAAAGAAA